AGTAATTAAAATATGCATACAGAAGGAAATAATGGCATGCACACCCCAGCAACGGACGATCCCACGACAATTTGCCAGATACAGTTCACTCAATTATTATTTCACTCTGTTACCCACTTATGATCACATATAAATCATTAGTTCCCGTGGGAAAACTGATCACACAAAGAAATAAACAATCATTCCCACGATACGCTGGGCCTAACGCCAACACTGTAACATGAATGTGCATTTGCATAGAACATATAAGTATAACAATATACATGCTTGTAATTTACATACAATTATAAATGTACATATTAATATATTCACTTACGTATCTTATAAGGGTACGTAACACAGTTCTATAGGTATTGTCCAACAGGTGGCGTGCTACAGGGACACAACACATGCAGGTGGTGTGCAAAACACCTACCAACAGCAACAGGTAGACCAACCGTGCAATAAACACCACCAATTCATTCGAGAACACATATACAATCACTGAGAGGGGGGGGGGGAGCGACGAAATACCTGCTGACTTATTTATGCAAGTCCCATGGGAACCCCTGCTCCATGCAAACTTAGCCCCTTAGCAAGCCCCTTGGGAACCCCTACCAGCAGACTCTTCAAGGAAAAGAGAACCAGACTAATCCCCATCTGCTATGCAACATTAATTATTAACAATAATTAGTTGGACACTAACGGCAGCTCAACTTTACAAACAGATATGCCAGCCATTCTGTCGGAAAATCCGACACCATTTAATAATCATACAGATAATAGCTGTATTGTATAAACAAGTTACCCATAGAAAACGTAACTTGTAGTGGAATTACCGTCTAAAGAAAATGGGATATCATCACCACATACTATTATAATTCACCACCTATTATGGTGGGAATTATTCTTAAATACATTAGTCTTTGGACTTTACCATCATAAAACATCTTATATAAATTAACTTAATTATCAATATTAAAGTAGAGTAAATGTGACCCTTCTATCACTTTCTGACATGTGGACAATGTAAGCCAGGCGTCAGAGAGAGGAAGGAGGGCAGCCATTGTTGTGTCACCTCCGAGACGTGTGGAGCAAATTTGGCTCCTATCATATCTGGACAATGTCGGCCAGGCGTCAATAGTATGGAGTGTTAGATGCAGCCATTGTTTATATACGAGACCAGAGGCTCACACGGGAGCAAATTCGGCTCCTGTTAATTTTACTTGGACGTAGTGTTATGGAAACCAAAAGTGTACCATTATCAACACGCTGTCTACAAATTCAAGTTAAGTGTTCTTTCCGAAACCCATTATCTATCATTAGTGGCCATTAATGTCATTGGGTAGGGTTAGCCGGTTAGAACGCGAAATCGCCTCATACTAAAGGTAATTAAGCCAGGTCTTTATTGTTCCATGTACAATGTTTCTCTGAAATACCTGTCATATACTAGGTTTCTGGCTTCACAGCTAGCGCCCTTTTAACAGGTCAAGACGAGGAAGCATGTTTGTGCATCAGTTACCAGCACGTGGAAGCTACCTCAAAGAGGGAAAATGTGGTCTACATCCTGGTTATACCTGCTGTACAAATAAGATAAGGAACCTTTTCAATGTATGTAGTTAATTCTGCAGTTTGATTGGCTGCATATATATTAATTAATAAACCCCCCCTAATGTGTAGAGGATCGATTTGTGAGATTATGAGATTATTGCAGAAATACAGTCCACTTATCATTATACAAATTGCTATCGAAGTATATAAATTAACGTAAATATAAATTCTATATATATTCATATAAATTAAATAAATATAAATCTCACAGGTCGGTTCCCACATTATTTGGTCCTTCGAACCGGATAACGGATTATTTGATCCTTTGAACCCACATTTGGTCATCTTAGTACCGGATGAACCAGTTAACCAGTGGATTCATTAAATATACTAGTGCAGTGTGATTTAAACAAAGCCAGTCAAGACGGCGGCGTTGACTCGTGCGAGTTCACGAGCCCCGCTCAGTTCAGATCAGCTTCGTCAGCGGTTTCATGCACACCCACAGATATTTGGTGGCGTGTTATTTCGTGAAATGACAGCGCTAATATAGAAGCCAGCCAAATTAGTGGCTGTGTCCTCGCAAGATTGTTCACGGATTTCGTGGTGTTACATTTCGCGAGAGATTATCTACGAATTTTGTGGAGTTTATTTCGCGAGGTCACTAATAATATTTAATACTTCTAGATAATATTAGAAGTTTCATAGAGGCTAATTAAGAGGCTATTATCAATAATTGTGTATATTATTTCTCCAAAATAGAGAATTATTTAATATATATTGCACTAGTGATCACAGTATAATATTTACTAATTGCCAACCCACAACAGGGTAGGATATGACTAGTTGAACTATTATCGTTCATCCTAGTCCCATTATTACCATAGTCAGTTGTACTATATTGAATAACCTAACACCATTAATGAATGGTGCAGACCCTATTTTGGGTGTAATTTTTATCAACTCGAGTTGAGTTGTATATATAATAATTTACTTATGATCATTACACCTTTGAGTGATTAATTAGTGTCTCTACCATCCTAGGGTGATATAGAAGAGCTAACCTAAAGGTACTTCCAGTGACACTGGTTTATCACTCAAATCATTAGTGTGTATGATTGTATATATATAATGTGTATTAATTTTAAGTGCTAACCTCTAGTAGAGGTAGGATTATTGCCTAGTGAGTGCAGAATTTACCCTAGGCTACCATCAGTGCTTGTTCAGTATTATGAGCAGCCCAAGTACAAGCCCCACAAGGCTTCACCAACTAGCCAGTATGGATAATGCAGGGAGAATGAAAAGAACCCTTGCAGGTCTTAAAGGCCACTTAACAAGACAGATCAAGAAATGTGAAGATTTGTCACAACAATCTCAAGTTGATTATGCTGACCTGGAAAGCTATTATCAAGCAGCTGCAGGTAAATTTGAGCAAATCAAATGCCAAATGGCTGTCCTTGTGGGGACAGACTACTACCATCAATTCATCGGTAGCCCTACTAAATATCAGGGTATAACCATGTTAAACTCTGCAGGAGGTAAATTACTCTCAGGCCCAGTATCAAGCCTGAGGAGACCTATGCCTGCAGATAAACAATACCAGTAGAAATCTAAATTTGTCAGCTGATTATATTTCTCCAGTAGCATTATACTAAGGAGATTACAGCTGACTATACCAACAGAGGTTGATGTTAGTATCATCATTTAAAGCTGAAGATGAGTTCATGAGGCCTCAGTGGCAAATCAGTGAACAGTAGCCTAAAACAGCTACAAGTCACTGCGACCAATGTCACTGAACCCACTGCAGTCTCAGAACCATACTTTACTTTAATGATGAGCTATTCAATCCTCTGAATCAATTAACTAAATTAAACCCCAATAAATCTGATGACTGATTTGATACATTTATTATTTAATCAAGATGTATTCCATGGGCCTCAGTGTTTATATATCAGTGACTAGTTACCTGAAGAAACTTCAAGTTATATCTAATGTCACTGATCTCACTGCAGTCCCTGAATCATACTTGACTGTAGTACTTGATCACATTCAGTCTTCTGGGTTAAATAATATGTAATAAGGCTTGAATATTAGCCTTTCAAGAGTTGACAGGGAAATGAAATCCCATTAGACTTCTAACCCCTGCAACTCTAGTACGGGACATCCGTCCTGTACGAACAGACGCACAAATGTGTGATTACTAACTCCTAACATCAAATTAATGAAATAATTCGGAGGAGGAGTATCGGTGTTCGTCTGTTCTAATAGGACTTCGACCCGTGAGCAGCCCCCTGGGGAATTATGTCGGAAAATCCGACACCATTTAATAATCATACAGATAATAGCAGTATTGTATAAACAAGTTACCCATAGAAAACGTAACTTGTAGTGGAATTACCGTCTAAAGAAAACGGGATATCATCACCACATACTATTATAATTCACCACCTATTATGGTGGGAATTATTCTTAAATACATTAGTCTTTGGACTTTACCATCATAAAACATCTTATATAAATTAACTTAATTATCAATATTAAAGTAGAGTAAATGTGACCCTTCTATCACTTTCTGACATGTGGACAATGTAAGCCAGGCGTCAGAGAGAGGAAGGAGGGCAGCCATTGTTGTGTCACCTCCGAGACGTGTGGAGCAAATTTGGCTCCTATCATATCTGGACAATGTCGGCCAGGCGTCAATAGTATGGAGTGTTAGATGCAGCCATTGTTTATATACGAGACCAGAGGCTCACACGGGAGCAAATTCGGCTCCTGTTAATTTTACTTGGACGTAGTGTTATGGAAACCAAAAGTGTACCATTATCAACACGCTGTCTACAAATTCAAGTTAAGTGTTCTTTCCGAAACCCATTATCTATCATTAGTGGCCATTAATGTCATTGGGTAGGGTTAGCCGGTTAGAACGCGAAATCGCCTCATACTAAAGGTAATTAAGCCAGGTCTTTATTGTTCCATGTACAATGTTTCTCTGAAATACCTGTCATATACTAGGTTTCTGGCTTCACAGCTAGCGCCCTTTTAACAGGTCAAGACGAGGAAGCATGTTTGTGCATCAGTTACCAGCACGTGGAAGCTACCTCAAAGAGGGAAAATGTGGTCTACATCCTGGTTATACCTGCTGTACAAATAAGATAAGGAACCTTTTCAATGTATGTAGTTAATTCTGTAGTTTGATTGGCTGCATATATATTAATTTAATAAACCCCCCCTAATGTGTAGAGGATCGATTTGTGAGATTATGAGATTATTGCAGAAATACAGTCCACTTAACATTATACAAATTGCTATCGAAGTATATAAATTAACGTAAATATAAATTCTATATATATTCATATAAATTAAATAAATATAAATCTCACAGGTCGGTTCCCACATTGCGCAAGAGTTAAATACACTCAGTGCAATTAGTGTTCTTACCAGCGAGAAACTGAATAAATTGTGTGAGCACTCACATATACTGTTGGCAGGAAGGATGGCGAAGGCGGCTGCCGCAGGCAAGGTGGTGTTCTCCACCATGAAGAAGTTTCCCCAGCGAGACTCGACCAGGGTGACACGGGGCTGGCCACACAGCACCACGCCACACAGCCACACACAACACACCACCACCACACCTCTGCCACGCTCCAATTGCATTCTGCACCTCTGAGCGTTAAGAAAGTATTTGAGTTTTGTGATGATGTCCCACCCTACATCTTTCCTATTAAGGCATAAAGAGTCATATCTCTTCAACCTACACTTTCTCTGATGCTCAGGGAACAGTTTGATATATATAAAGGTTTTAAGAGTTATAGTATGTGAGATGAATTTCCTATTTTAGTTTTGGCATTACAAGTGACTTACGCCCTTTTGTGTTGCAGGATTGCGCCAAGGCAAGGAGTTTGCCGCCAAAGGAGCCAAGTGCCAGCCGTCTGGTGATTGGCCAGGTAAGGTCACGTGACGGGATTGACCAATGGCGCAGCGCCCCTGAATGTGTGACGTCACAAGGCAGAGTACCAGGCGGCCCAGTACCCTGCAGCGCTCAGTGTGTGTCACTGTATGTCATTGAGCGCGGATACGCTCAAGTGACCTCTCAGTTTCGAGGCTAAGAAGCCCTAGCCAGTGAACCCAAGCAACCGCATTGATACTATAGACATCAAGGAAGATTAGTTAACTCCTGAGGAGTATACATAAGCAAGGCCAAGTTGGTGTTAGAGCGCCAAGAGCTCTGTTGCTGATAGTCTACGATGGAGGTTGACGTTTGTGCTGGGAGGGTCGTGCATGACGCCCTGCAGGCCGAGTTCTGACATATCTAACGAGCTGCTGTGACCAGGTAAAGTCCACTGGAAGGGTAAGAAGGGGACACTGAACCATACTGCAAGTATGTCTACAGTTCCAGTGTGCGAGAAGGTAGACGGCGTACGCAGGGACCTGCCTTGAGCACTAAGGAAGAGTGTTATGACTCTAGGTTCTTAATTGGAAACCAGAGGTCAATTTGAGTTCTAAATAAATGTAGACATTAATTCATAGGATTTGATCATGTGAGATGGATATTTAATTACTAAGTAATTATCAAAAAGAAGGCACCAAACTGGGAAGGCTATGTAGCACCATCAAATGTGCGGGATAATAAGAGGGTGCTAAATATCACCAAGGACGCCAATACGAGAACAGAAACGCATAAGGCGAATGATATCAAAAGTATCAGAGTCATCAAGAATACTATCGAGAGACAAGCGACTGCAGGGGACGGTCGGAAAACAAGACAAATGCTCGTCCCGGAAGTCAGGACATTCAACAAGGATATGCAGACCTTAAGAGGGACACTGCAATTAGGACAACAATGAGCAGGGCGGCGTTCCATCAAGTGACCATGAGTTAAGCGAGTATGGCCAATACGCAACCTCGCCAGAGCCATTTCCCATCGCCGGTTACGGTGGCAGGAGGACGGCCACGAGGACACACAACCTTTAAGAGAACATAGTTTGTTACCAGTAACAGTCGACCAAGAAGCCTGCCAACGGGTAAGGATGGAGGAATGGATAACCGGGTAAAAGTCAGAATAAGGAAAACTTTTACGAGAGATGGGACAAGAGTAGACAGCTTCCCTGGCAGCAGCACCCGCACGCTCATTTAAAAAGACACCAATATGGCTGGAAACCCAACAAAACTCAACCGACTTAAATTTACTGTGAACAAGAAACAGCCAATGCTGGATCTCGAAAACCACTGGATGAACCGGATTAAAGGGCCCGAGAGCGATGAGGGCACTACGAGAGTCAACAACAACTACAAAGGAAGATTGACAACGAGAGAGCAGGAGACGAAGATCATAGAGAATAGCATAAAGCTCTGCTGTGCAGATGCTAGCCTCCGGAGGTAAGCGACACATATAAGTGTGATCAGGAAAAACAACAGAGTAGCCAACACCATCCACAGACTTAGACCCATCAGTGAAGACGGAAATGGAGTGCGAGTGAGAAGAAAAGTGCTCAAGGAAAAGGTGTTTTAGAACCGTAAAAGGGGTAAAAGCTTTAGGGATGTGGCTCAAGGATGTACAAAACTGCAGAAGGGGGACTCTCCACGGGGGCAAAGAAGGAATAACACAAGGAGAAATATTAGAAATACGAACGGAAAGAGAATCACGTAAGCGAGATAACTGGACAGAAAGAGGGAGGTGGTGAAGAGGAACAGGAACCGCAGGAGGGGTAAAAGTTAAAGCACGTCAGAGGCGAGAGGAAGGATGTTGCAAGGATCGTGCAAGATAGCAAAGACAGTAGCGATCACAACGGTCCTGGAGAGACAGGAGCCAGTATCAACATACAAGCTAAGGACGGGAGTCGAACGAAAGGCACCAGAATTGAGGCGCAACCCAGTATGGTGCAAAGCATCAAGACGGCGAAGAGTAGAAGGAGAAGCAGACGAGTAAGCAGGGCAACCATAATCGAGCTTAGACAGGACGAGAGAGGAATGTAAAGCAAGGAGAGTGCGCCTATTTGCTCCCCAAGAAGTATGGGACAATACCTGAAGGAGGGCAAGGGTCTTAGAGCATTCAACATGGAGGTAAGAGATATGGGGAGACCAAGACAAACGAGTGTCAAAGAATAACCCCAAAAGCTCCGCAGAATCTTTGTACTCAAGGGGATGACCATAAAGTGACAAAGAGGGACGAAGAACGACCCGTTTTCGAGTAAAAGTCATGGTACAAGTCTTAGTAGAAGAGAACTTGAAGCTATGATCGGTGGCTCAAGACAACACGGCATTAATCGCAAGTTGAAGCCGACGCTGAAGGAGAGGCGAATCCTCACCCTGACAGCAAAGGGTAAGATCATCGACATAGAGAGCGGAGAAGACGCCTGAAGAAAGAGAGGAAAGAAGACCATTGAGGGCAACCAGAAAAAGAGTAGTGATCAGAACACTACCCTGGGGCACACCTTCGTATTGCTGAAAAGAGGCAGAGAGAGCGGTACCAAGGCGCACCCGAAAGGAAGGACGAGAGAGGAAGCTGTGGAGAAAGAGAGGGAGATGACCACGAAGGCCAACAGAATGAAGCTGGGATAGAATATGATACTGCCAAGTTGTGTCGTAAGCCTTTTCCAGGTCAAAAAGGACGGCAACAATGGAGGTCTTTGCAGCAAAAGCGGTACGAATATAGACCTCCATGTTCACCAGGACATCTTTTGTGCTGCGGCACTTGCGGAAACCAAATTGAGAAGGGGAGAGGAGGTGATGGTGTTCCAGGAACCACATCAGACGAACGTTAACCATATGTTCAAAGAGTTTGCAGACACAACTTGTGAGGGCAGTAGGGAGAAAGTCCTTAGGGGATGTTCCCAGAGACCCCGGTTTGTGAACAGAGAGGACAACGGCATCGAGCCAGTTCTTAGGGACTGACAACGACTCCCAGATCCGATTATACAGACTCAGTAAATCCTGAGACGTGGACGGAGGGAGATGGCGAAGCATCTCATAATGAATGCCATCGGAGCCCTCTGCCGTAGAACCGCAGAGGGCCAGGACAGAACGAAGTTCAGAGAGAGAGAAGGGATCATTATAGGGAAGTCGAAGACGAGTGCAGAAATCTAAAGGACGAGATTCAAGGACAGGTTTACGAAGAAGGTAAGATTGGGGAAGATGAAGACCAGAGCTAATAGAAGAAAAGTGGGAACCCAGTTCGATAGCAACCTGCAACGGGTCTGCCACAAGAGTACCACAGAGGTGAAGGACCGGTGAAACATCGAGAACGAACTTACCCGCTATCTTGCAGATACGCTTCCAGATCTGTGGCATAGGAGTTTCGGACGTAATGGTGGCGACATAAGATGCCCAACATTCACGTTTAGCCGTACGGATGGCCCTACGGGCCACCGCACTCGCCTTCCGAAAGAAAAGAAAAGAATCGGCCGTTTGCCGACGGTGGTGTCTCTTCCAGGCTGCATGCTTACAGCGGACAGCCCGAGCAGTCTGCATTCCACCAAGGAACGCACTTCCGTGGACCCCGAGAGGAAGAGTGAGGAATAGAGCGGAGGGCAACATCGAAGACGGTGTCATGAAAAAGGAGGAGAGAGCGAGGGAGAGGTCAGAGAGAGCAGCACTGAGGGTAAATAGGTTCCAGTCCGGGATATTTAATTAACTATAACATTTACATTCATGGCTCCTTAAAACCTGGGTATGCATTTGTTCCCGTCTTCCTTGCCAGATGTAAGACAAATCTTGTTACTCACAGAGCATTCAGACTCTGTGCTTGTTGATTATTAAATATAATATAAAGCTAGATATCAGCTATTCTTAGAAATGTTAAAGTAAGTAGTAATGAATGCCTGGGAATACTTGTGATGATTGCTACCATACGATCAGTCGAGTATCCGCCGGGCAACATCACTGTAGGCTGAGAGAGCTGCTTGCTGGTTCTTCTCTGTGGCAGCTGTGGTGGTGACCACACCTTTCCTGTGGGCTCTGTTCTCCTCCTCCTCTTTCCTGTTCTCCTCCTCCTTCTCTCCCAATACCCTATGTCCAAGATAAGTACCTTTCTCCGATTTTAACGTGCTACAAGTTAGGTGTATGTTTAAGAGAGTGTGTATTCTTAGCCAGTGATTTGGTATCCCTAATTGTACTCTAGGGGTGACTGGGGAACCCACGTGTGTTCAAGTTTACCCAGGCTATCTTAAGCCTTTACAATTGCCTTTCAGGAAAGTAGTCTTTACCCTAGTTTGCAATTGTAAACCTTGCATCCAGCTTATGTGGACCAAGGTGTTTAACGTAAGGTAGAGTGGTAAAGTGATTTATTGTAGTTTGTGTATGTGGGGGTTATTAGAGGGCTTATTAAATAAGGAATAAGCTGGGAGTATCTTTTCATCCTGTTGAAGTGGAGTAGATGATCTACCTTAGACAGCAGAAGTTAATCTATCCAAGCAAGTATTCATTGTTGGGAATATTCTTCCCTGGGGGCCGGGACCTATCTAATCTCCACTATTTTAGGAACTCCTTTGATTGTAACTATTGGCCCTCTCAGTACAACCACATGATCCCCATAACAAGGACTTGCCTTCCGGGAGTGAGCACGGAGAAGACGCGCATCTACCAGTCATCTAAGGACCTTATGTGTACCGGATCTTGACCAACGGAGGATGAACCACCGGAACAGAGGACCTCAACGATCGTCGTCA